TTACACATTTACACATATACACATCACCACAGACTTATACATACACACATATACACACCACCACACACTTATACATACACATACAACCACGCAAACACACATAAACGCGAAAAAACATCCTAAAATACACATTGTGATAAGAAGTCTTCTAAGACGTTTTAGTGATACTTATTGCATTATCGATCATTTAGAAACGCGTTTTGGATAGTATTACTTTTTCATAAATTTTAGATGTAATATGAACCGTGCACACGGGTCAACCCCTGCCACCATCTGCGAACAATTACAATATCAAATTACAATAACAGTTTTTACTAATAGCTAATAGAAACAAATATATCTAATGATAATTATAAACGGCCGATTTGTTAAAATTGTGCAATAGAAGGAGACGTATATACACATAAATGCATTTCTATCATCCTTGACTTGCATATCTACCGGAGAGAGAGTTTGATAAACGTATATCTATCAAACAGACAAATGTGTATCTATTGCTGTACATATGCATGGCCGTATATATGAATATTCATTGGGTCGGGCCTATACTTTTAACAAACAGGCCAAAAGTCACTAGTTGAACATCAGCAATAGCGAACCCACAACTATGGTTTAAAGCAATAGTATTGTAAACCCTCTTTCAAAATCCTAAGGACGACCATGCATAGGACGACAAATTAGTTAAGAACATAGGTACGTCGTTCTTCTTGAGTATAAAACATAACATGAACGTATTACCCACTTGCAATTTGATGTAACCCGGGCCTAACTTGTGTTAGGCCTACCTTCTAAATGGATGTTATCAAAGTATAGTTAGAACGGACGACCCGTGTTAAACTCTCATATATGGAAACTAGAATTGCTATTTCGGGAAATGACTTCATAATTGCTTATACGAATATTCATTGCCATTCGGATAACGAACTAATGTTTAAGCTTCCACATTAAGATATATGTAATATATTAAAGCAACATATATAGTTGTAATAGAGAGGGCCTTTTGTGCAGGCCACTATAAGGGCGAGTAACGTTTTAATACGGTGTTAAAGGGACAAGCGCCATTGTGGGACACCTTCACACACTGGGAATCAACGATAAAGCTTCTTACTTCAAGAGCAGGTATTGATAATTAGAACAGCCACGATGTTTCTGCGAGTTACAGGAAATGCTAGAAATAAGAAATAAAACGTTTTTTACAATAATTACAAATATTTCAGGGTCCTGTTTATGGCGGGAACTGCGAAGACATCTGATAACGATGAACGCTTTCAAGTCAATCAATAGCTTTTAATCAACAATCAGCATAAAGATAATGCCTTTACGTTACACAACGGTAACATAAATGCAAAACATTTCGCCTTCTATGAAATCGTATACAGAAACCTGTACCTATGAAACGAGGAGACAAATAAAACATTCGCAACATCTACAAAATGGATACAGAATAACGACTACAGCTTATAGAAACGCATTTGCATGGCACGGAAAGTACAAGACATCATTCCCAACAAAGGCAGTAAAGCCTGCAATGGCGCCTGCAGCACAGTTTGAATGAGCTCTGACCTTTACACAGTCACACGTACCGCTCTTTCCTCTGCCACCTTACTGAATAGGAATCCAACCATTGATGAGATATTTACATGAATAGCGGTCGAGTCTACATAATATTGACTGCCGAGACGCGGTACGGCTAAAGTTGCTTCGTAGGTGAATGAAGGAAAGGTTTAACAGTTGAGTTCAGTATTTACGTAAACTGCTCTCTTTCTAATCACACGTCGAGTGCAAGGAATTTTGTTAATGTTGTAGATTATTATCAATGTTTACCTCCTTTGAAGTCTTCCATGTCAGACCATTCATTTTTTTGCCTCATCGCTACGTTTCTTGGGAAGAGTAACCTATTTTTTCGAAAAGAAAAACGGGATGGGGATAAAAAGTTCGGTTCCGTTTTCAGTATATAATCCAATTGCATTTACGGTAGTATCTAATTCGAATGTGTGTTATGTAAGAAAAGGAAAATTAAAGATTTCATCAAGCGAAGACGGATTTCACACAACCTATTTCCTTCGGCCGAGAAACACAATTTGACCTAATTTTCTAGATAAACCGTAACATTTAGCGTGTGATATTTTTTTGAAATGGACGCTCTGCACGAACGATTTAGCTCCATGAATGTACACGGAATACTATTCAATGAAATTAATCATTTTCGGTACTCTATCGATATCTGTGAGTACGTTTATTGACGATAAGCATCCCTTCATCTCTTGCACAGCCATAGTACCCGACGATTTTTAAGCTTTACCTTTCCAAGATATTTGTTGGAATTAAGCCTATTTTCGTGCTTCAGCATAAAAGAGCATGTCCTGGAACACGATAACTCGTGGTGGATAATAAAACAACACAGGCACAGGGGTCAGGGTGACCGCTAAAGAGATAGAAGCATCCTTTCACCTGGAGATGTGCCTCCATGATGCTGAGGCTGCGGGGTTGCCCATCTTACCTTTCAAGGGAGCGGCGACCACTGCGGGGACCCCCTCACTACTATCCTGGGTCCTGACGCATCCTGCCGTTAGTCCGAGGAGTAGAAGGAGGAAAGTCGGCATCCTATGTGCCTTAAAGCGGTCATCGGGATGAAGATACGGATCAAACAAGGTATCGACTCAAACTGCCTTCCGCCATGAGCCTGTCTCCCCGCCCCCCTCGACTGCTCAGCTGAGGGACTATTGATTACTTACTATTTCACGAATAATTCTCAGATTTTGCGTGCTGCTACAGTTTGCGTTTTAGAATAATTATAAGGGTAATATGAGTGTTACAGATGTCGATTATCTTTATTTATAATAAAGGTACAGGATTATCACCATGGTTTCTTCTCACACATGCGTGTGTCGGGTCTCGTATCTGGCCGTTTGATTTGCACAATAAATAAACATCTACCACAAAAACTTGAACAGATAAATATAAGAAGATATTATGTAAATATATCCTTTTTAAGGAACCCCATAAAACTTTAATAATTGCAACTGGAGCAAATCAAAGATGCTGTACCTTAGCATTGCGCAAGGTGACAGGTCCTTGTCACCGGAGCAGACAGATGTAAACAAAGAGTAGTCGTTCTGCAAGTCTTTTCCTCTTTCTGGTCCTAATTTGATCCAAGTGACAAGATGACAGATGTCAGCGGAGAGATTCTGGCTTCAGTTATAAAGTGTGTCAATTTTGCTGCTTTAAAACACAAAGATCAGAGACGAAAAGACCCCGAAAAAACTCCTTACATAAATCATCCCATTGGTAAGAAAACGGAACATAATCCTGTAGAAAGATTTAATCTTATCTAATTGAATGATAACATTCGCAGTTTTTCTTTTTTTGTTTTTATCTTGTAAATTTTCATGAGAGTCAACATAGTTTATGCATAAAACATTATTACAACAAATACTGTAATATCGTTTTTTTTTTTTTTTTTTTTTTTTTAATGCGTCTGCATAACAACGCGACGATTTCGGTATCATTGGATACCTCTCACCGTCTACAATGCAAATATATAGGATTTGATGCATGGAAACACCCCAACCCCTCATTAGCAATAAGCTTGGCCCTGATAGCAGAGTAGGGCATGAAAGGTTCTAGGGAAATTGTGGGATTAGATATGAATAATCTATACAGAATCAGTCACTGTATTGTCTAATTGTCTCTAGCCCCCCCATGGGGGGGCTACTGCTCCCAACTACCACCCAGGAGGACAATGAAATCCTCCACGTATTCAAGGCTGGAGAGAGCGTTGGACAGACTAGGCAATGCTGCTCCCACATGGCGGTTGTACACTCTCTCTTCTTTGTTTTTTAGGGTGGGGGCTGGGGGGTGGCAGCCCCCCATGATGTGGTGGTCACAAGGGTACAACTCCTAGTATCAGAAAATATAGTGACTGAGTGTTTATTAAGCATAAGAGTCACCTGGTATGCACGGCAGTGATCTCGGATGTGTACATTCAAGAGTGCACATCCTGAAACTTTCTTGGTGATATCTGCCCGTATACGCAAGGGATATTGGCCCCCTCTGTTGCCAAGGGTTGAACAGGTTTTGCAAATCCAAGGGAAATGGAGAGAGCGCTGAATAGGCGGCGATAAGGAAATATTACCCAGCTGAAAACATGCCCTCCTCTGCCTGAACTTCTCAAGGAAACCAAAATCATCACAATCTGTTTTGCTTAACTATTAGAAAAAGATACAGGAATATCATTCCACTACAGCCTGAGGCCAGACGTCATTCTAAGTGCGTTTGCTCCCCAGTTTTGCTTGAAATTAGAGCTAGATCTACATGTATATTGTCAATTATGAACTTTTGCTTCTTTTTTATAAGCAGTTCTATACCATGATAAAAAATATGGTATAGTCACTTGAGGGGAAGAAACATTAGTGGTTATGGGGTTTGAGAAATCATACATTTCTAACCATACTGTTAGCAGATTTTTAAAAACTGATGATGTGTTCTTAAAGTACAATCTTTGGGCTTATTACAGAAGTATATGTTTTATATTGTTCACTGATTATAAAGACATGACATAGTAAGAAGTTGAAACTGAAAAGAAGCTACCTAAAATTTGCTATGACACAGAAATGTTTGTCTTTCATTACCCCAAGAGCTGTCACATGGTGCTTAACCTTTACCGTATGGATACACGAAGTTAGGGCAAATGAAATATGATATTCTTGTTGTGAACAAAAGTTGCAGTTGTCGGTACAAGAAATAATCTGCAGACACAAATGGAAATGCCACAAGGTAAAAGATTGCTCTTAGTCTAAGTCCACACAATGCTCCCGAATTTCAACTCTAACTTGCAGTGTATACCAAGGTGAAGTTTTCTAAGGGATGTTAGGGGCAGAGCCCCTATCATCCCTCTCTTCGGGCAGGGCTTGAAGGACACCCAGTCACAGCAACTTAGATTTATGAATAAATTTTGTGAAATGGAGTTATGACATGGAGTTGGGGTCCATACTGTAAAGAATTACTCCGATGGTTTCTCATGGCTTAAATGTATTTCATGAAGGGTTGCTGTATACCAATGTAGAGGCTATGGTTCATGATGGGAGTTATGACATAAGTAGCACTTCCCTATTGCTTATTTTGCTCCTCTAAGGAATAATTATAAAACAACACTAAATATTTGATCATGTCCTCAAAACTAGAGGCAGAGATCTTTTGAGAGAATGTGGGTTTGTGAATATATTATGCTCCATTTAGCATAAGGGACTCCCTGCAGAAAATGTGAAGCAAGGTTTTGAGAGCACAAGCATTTCTCCATACAACAAAGAAAGATATAAAAGGTAGATTTATTCTTCTGAAAGAAAACCTGATCATCCAAAGGATGATCAGAGTGATCCTTTGTTAGAATCTCTGAGATTTCACCCACAAGAGGAGAGACTAGCTGATGACCATCATGAAGAAACATCTTTGGCTGGGACATTAACTAATGAGGAAAAGCAATCTGACCTCTGTACAGTACTTGTACAACCTGCTTCAAGACCACTTACACCAGCATCAAGGCTTCCTATCCCTGCTCCAGATTTGTCTCCCTACTCCTGTTGCACTTTCAAATCCATTTCCAAACCAGGATCCCGTGAAAGAAATTCACGGGCTTATATGTGAAAGAAATTCAATGGAGGACTTCATATAAAATGCCTTTCAGTATTCTTCTGAAAACTGCTCATGGAGAAATATATTTAAAAACTTATCTTATCCAAGCCAGGAAGAAGCCAATATCAAATGTACTTAAAGGTTAGAATCATTAATGTGGAGGAAATCAAAAGACAACTGGATGCAAAAGAAAATATAAAAGGTAAAAGAAAAAAAAGACCTATCAGATGATGAAAATGACCCCAAGTCAATGATTGACTCTGATTTTTTGGATGATTAGTCTCTTTATGAAAGTAAGCATGCAGAAGGATTTAACTTGCCAATATTTTATGACAACTCCATTGGAAAATATCATGCTGTATATTACTCCCATCTAGCTAAACATTATTACCTAGGTGGGGGGTTATTTTTTTCACACTTGATGAGGATGCTGCTGTATCTTCTGTGGAAATCAACTTTTTTGTGAAGAAATATTTCTTCAGACCCTGAAAAGTTAATGTGGAAAGCACCCACACAAAAGGACAGGCAAATAGTTTCTCCTGATTTCATATTTTTGGACCTGTAAAGACAGATGTTCTAAAAGGCAGATATATGTATTGCTACAGATGAGTATGCTGCTTTTAAGAAATATTATTCAATCCATGCAAATGATGAGTAAATACCATGTTAATGACATCTTTATGTTTTACTTGAAGATATTTTTTAAGGCAGAAAAAGGAATGTTTTTACCCCATCTATGTTTTTTATCAACCCATTTCTAGGGAAAGAAAAAAATATCAAAAAATAGAATTGTATAAATGTAAATTCTTATGCTAATTTGAAATTACTTTGTATGATTTACAGTTCAAACCAAACCCACCATATGCACCATAGAAGAAATCTCATGAATAGATTTTGGAAATGCAATTGAACTTCCAACCAATTTTGTCTGTTTTTCCCCTAGCTGACTATAATTATTCTGAAGACCTTTATATGGCAGATCACAATGATACCAATGATTTGGTATAGTTTCAGTTTTCTACACCCATGTAGTACAAATTAAATTTGCCTGTAATGGACAGAATGATAAAAAATTACCCTCATCTATAGTATTTCCTTTGCAAGTTGATAATAGTTGTGCAACATGTAATACTGTGGTATTCATTTACAGGAAACTAAAATGATGCTAAAATAATCAAAGAGACAATCTACTAGCTAATACATAAAATAATCTGCATAGGCAAAAAATGATGTCTAAAATGGGATGTGACAGATGTTATTTGGAGAGCAAATCCACTGCAATTGTACAGTTTCCTGTGCTTATAATGTTTCATTTAAGTGGCTAATTGCTCGTAAACCTTGGTGTGTGGCTCAGTATGGGATGGAGAAGACTTGTGAATGGGTTAAAGAAACTATTAGATATTTGTACCAGATATATAAGCTAACCTGATATGGCATAGCATTGGCTATTCAACATATTTGTGGCGTAGTATGGTAATAAAATCTCAATACTTTTTACTTTGCAACAAAACTGGCAATGATTAGAGCTTTCATTATGTGAGCAGAAACTTAATTCATGTCAGGGTTTTTCTACCACGAAGGCAAAAGGTTAATATTACGTACATAAGATATTTTTTTCAAAGTATGAATATATCCACAAAATCATGATTTTTTTTCAGTAACATGCAATAATTGAAATAAAACAGAAAGAAATATAAGTACTAAATCATTTATAGATAGATTTAGTACCCAGCTCTGATATTTTTCCATCACAAATTATCTCATTCTCTGGTATAGCCATTAGATAGAGTAGATATCCTGATTTCCTTAGTGTCAACATCAATACCAATCACTTACTTATAAAGACTGGGTTATCTTTATTGTCCTTTCCCTCACACACATTTTGATACATACCAGGCTACATACACGGCTCTATACTTTCTACTCTGGTATTGACAAATGAAGCCATGACAAGCAATTTTGGAATATTAGTTTACTGCTGTCTTTCATCAAGTAGATCATTAAAAAAATATGTACATTATGTTATGGCTTCTTTATCCATTTCCAATCCTAGCCTTTTCAAAGCTTGTAGGCCTATCTTAAAGTAACAACTGTAATTCCATTTGAAATTTAAACAAGTAAAGTCTTCTGCTATTTGAAATTAAAAAGCCTGTTTTCTTAACATATGCCAGAAGTCAAGGTCAAAATCAATGTCAAATTTAATTATTACAACAAAAAGTGTATTTGTTGGTTGTGTGTGAGAACTATGTGTTACCGAATCAATAGTGCAGTAGTTTATTCTTGTTATGGTTATTACTATGGTTTTACTTTTAATGTAACTCACATCTCATTTTTACATAGTTATCTCAATATCACCACACATTTAGTTAAGTACTATTTATAGATAAAATGGAATGATAGGTCAATTAAATAATGTGGTGGAATCCCAGAATACTTATCAGTTTTGTCAGATTTCAATGATAAAATACTTAAAAGCTTGTATAAAAGTTTATTTCTTGAAATATATGCATGGTGAATTATTAATAGTCTAATGTATAATTTAGTTTTATCTTGATGTTACATTTTAATATTGAATATTTGATATATCCAACAAAAATAAATTATGTTTGTAACATTTATTTAAACCACCAAAGTATTGAGATACACTGACAATGAAGGCTTTGCTGAATAGAAAATTTGCAAGAACTCCAAAAGTAGTTTATTGTCATAATCCTTTTATAGTATCAGTGGATTTTGTATAGTCTATTCTGTGTTAAACATAGAACCTATTAGATATAACTACAAATTACCTTAAGTAGTTTATTGAAGAGGAGTTTAAACAAGAACTCTGGGAATGGTAGTGGAAGAGGAAAGAAAATGATCCCATATTTAGTCTTCAGAACTAGGGAGTTTAAATTAGTTCAGAGGTATGAACGTATTCCTTAGAGGTAAAATTTATTTATTATTATTATTTTTTTTTTTTTTTTATTTATTTATTTATTTTTATTTTTTTGTCATCCCAACACATGACCTAATTAGGTGACACTCAGTGCCTTGGGTTTTTAAGCATGACATAATTGGATGTCACCTGTCATGATTGCATTCAAATTTTATGAACATTTTTCCACAATGTATCCCTTTTTTAATTGACTGTAGGAGACATTTTTTGCTGGAATAAGAATTCTCCAACAAAAAAATTATTGTAGCTTTATAAAACTTTTCGAAATCAGTGATGAATAAAATGAGCACGTGTGTAGCCATATTTTTATATTTTGTAATTAGCTTTATTAACCTTGAAGCTCTGTTGAATATGTAGTTAATCATTTTAATAATAATAATGATTATGATAGCAGTAATGACAATTCCACAAATTCTTTTAGGTGTGGCCTATTTATTAGTGGAAGGAGGTGTTAGAGACGTAGATGTCATACAAGCAGCTTTACTCCATGACACAGTGGAGGACACAGATACAACAAATGAAGAACTTGTCCAGGAATTTGGTCCAGAAGTAGCTGGTATTGTGGCAGAGGTGAGTGCAGGACATATCCCCCCACCCACCCACCAGAAAAAAATAAAAAAATAATAATAATGCTTACAGATAAAATGTACATAACATCCTTTCATATTTTTCATGCGAATTAGCTATCAAGGGTTTGAATTCAAAGTCATGCTTTGTTACTCCAATCATTGTTTTATTAGCTTAGCCTATGTTTTTCCCGGTGAATTTGAACTGTTCATTTAGATGTGTTTGCTCTGCTTGGTGTGAAAATAATTTATGTAAATTTGTCCTTTCATATAAACTTGAGTAACTTTTGAGTGTGGTACATTCAGTAATACTTTTCTGTAAGGAGTGCATTAAATGTACAGAAAATATTTATTGTTTTTATTTATTTATTTATTTTATTATTTCTATTATTATTATTATTTTATTACAGGTAACTGATGACAAAAATCTTGATAAACAAGAAAGGAAGAGACTGCAGATTGTACATGCTGCTGAAGCCTCACCCAAAGCTAAATTAGTCAAACTTGCAGACAAGTTGTACAATTTACGTGACTTGGATCGTACAACTCCCTCAGGCTGGACCCAAGAGAGAGTGCAAGAGTACTTCCATTGGGCCTCACAAGTTGTTGCAGGCTGTAGAGGAAACAATTCTTTCCTTGAGGGTGAACTGGACAAGTTATTTATAAAATGGAATGTTAGTGTATAACTAGAAGTGGGATTTAACATTTTTGTTTTAGAGTACTTATATAGCTTTCACCTGTTGAGAAATGGTTTGAGTATTTGCAAAACTTATTATGTGCAACTTGAAGAGGCAAGAGTGTGCTTGCTATTTTATGATTTACATGAGAGTTGTTTATCAATAAAGCATTTTTGCCCAGAAAAAGAAGTGAACAGTCAAGAAATATAGTACAAAACCTTTTGTTACTCTTCATTGTTTACATGAAAAATAAAAATAAATTTTCAAGGATATTTTCTTTAAAGCCTGTGATGACTATGCTTTGTGTATTGTAAGATAGTATCACTTAAGCTTACATGTTATTATTTACTGTCAGATGCATAAATTTATGCTCTAGGGCTTCACTATAATATCCCCTTTCAATGCCATTCTCTCCTGAACTGCTATGTGATATAGAGCACACTTAATCATCAACTAACCCCCTCCCCCTCTTTACTCTTTCTGAAATACTAGATGTCCTTTGATGTCTAGCACATTCATTTTCCTTTAGAACCATTAACCATTCACTAGAATATTAGTTGTTATAAATTTTATTAGCATCCACAGTTGTTAAATACTCTAGTGAAAATAAATCGTCTTCATAACACCTCTATTAAAGAAGCTTTCATATTCATTACTAGTATCCTTTAGAATGAAGAAGTTAATTTTTAACACAAATCAATAGAAGTACAATGAATATTAACAATGTTTTCTACAACAGAAAAGTATATTGTGTGCTACCTAATACTATGATTTAGTATATGCCTATAATTTCTGGTGTGCCTGTTGTCTTCCTTGTGCATTGACCTTTTATTTGTGACAGAACCAACACAGGTAAATCATGCTTATCACATCCTTATTGCTGAGGATATTCCACTCTGGCTCATAAAACTCAACAACCCATTCATGTGAGCCCAATTAGGTTGCATTCTTTGAGTCCGGTCTTTATTGATACCATTCCAAGGATATGGCAACCTATGTTGATGTCAACTCTTGCAGAGTAAAGAAAACTTAAAATGGAAAATGTTAGAGGGAAACGGTCAGAATATTCATAAAATTTTGTAATGACTGAATCGATAGAAGATAACCTTAGTTAGAAATATGGGTGTATTTCAAATATATAAGTTTTGTCCCCTGCAATATGTTCAAGTAAAAATAAAGTCTTGTGAGCTGCAGAAATTCAGCAATATTTATGGGAAAGCATTCCATTTCTGTAGCAGTCCAACATGAACAGCTTTGCTTGAGTTACATCTTTGCACAGCAAGTATCATATGGACTCCTCCACATCCTGGCTTATTCCAGCTTGTTTAAAGCCCATGACAAAAGAAGAAAAAAAGCAAATAAAGGCTCACTACAACTATTTCAGCTAAAAATCTTAGGCCTAGAAAACTTTATGATATAAAACTGGAAAATTAACTCCCTAAACCTTATTTGCTTTTATTAGAAATTGCCAGATAGAAATGGTCTCTCAATTACAGCTGCTTTCGAAGTTTTAAATATAAAAAGTGATTGCAAGCTAGTAATATTAACTATGAAACTTTGCATTCTAAGTTCAGTTTTTTCACCTGGGATTAAACTACTTTGAAGAGTGTCGTTTTCTGAGATGACTATCATCCAGTCATCCAGATGCTCTCTCGTTAGGTAATCATCTTATTTGTTGGTTGGTTGCAGTATTTTACAGCAGTATCTTTGAAGTCTTTCCCACATTGTGATATATGCCTCCCCTTTTTATTTATTTTAAAAAAATATATATATTGTGTACGTGTATGGGTGCATATGAGTGTGTGTTTGGGTGTATGTTAGAGAGTGTCAGGGAAAGGAAATGTCCTTTTGGGGTGCTGAATAAGAAATTAGTTCCACTCAAGGGCTGCCACACTATTTCTTACCATCATGATGATATAACAATAAAAATTAAGAGTCAATAATACAAAGAAATAGATTCTTGTAGATGAGTCAGCACATCTGGTTTGAATGTTAAGTTAACGTTATAGACCCAAAACATTTTTCAACTTCAGACAAACTAGCATTCTAAAAGATTAATGTGACTATTGTCCCATTCTTTCATCAATCTATCTATCTATCTATTAATATACAAGTAGTATATTATATATAAAAGTAAGAAAAAGAAGACACAAGAACCTCATAAGACACTTCTAATAATAAAATCCTTTGACTCTTAATCCAATTGACTTCTGGATTATTTTGTGCTTATGTAGCCGTCTTATATATACACAAAACCAATAATACAAAACCAAGGTGGACAAAGCATGTTATAAGGACTCCCAGCATCGGTGGGTTAACCTTTTAACCATCAAGGCCCCTGAGAGATTAGTCATTGCCTCTGCCTCCCTCCAGAAACTTTTTCAATCTCACCTGACTTAAAAGTAAATGGGGGGAAAGTCTAAATAAGCAATACTCACACAGGAACAAATGTAAGGAATTTTTTTTTTCCCCTCTGGGCATGTGATGTTCCCTGGTTAAAAAATACAGTTTTAGATTGAGTAATATTCCCAGTAGTTTTCAAATGACATATTTCCATTGGTTGAAGATCAAGTGCAATTTGGTTAAAAGAAAATACCATTTAAAGATAATCATTCTCTTAAACTTTAATTACAATAAAAATAATTTAAGGGAAATATCAAATATTCATATTGATAAGGAATATACAAACATATCTCACAATAAAAGCCATAAAACATTTTCTGTAAAGATAGAGGGCAATAGATACACAGAATCTTAGAACTTTTTTAAAGAAAATTGAGACCTGAATAAAATAAGTTCCTCTTTGTACTTGATATTTTTAAAAAAGCAACCTCACCTTTTTTAAGGCATAACTATAATATTCGTACATTAATTTTTTTCAAGGTGTGGGAAGTTACAGGAACTTTCTGTCACCAGAAGAAAATCTGTCATTTAAGTGTCGAGCTTTCTTTAAAATCTTTTCTTTCTGAACATCGTCGAACTTATTAACATTCATGTCTTCCTCTCTGCTGAATGGACGACGCTCCTTCTTTCCTTCCTTGGGTTCCATTTCCTGAAGAAAATATCATTCAGCTTAAACTCATATATAATGTGTCCATTTTTAAATATTTGATAAATTTCTATACTGTTACTGATACTATTTCATGAAGAAATCATAGTTTAAAAATCCACTAGCTTTGAAGTCTCTTACCTTCTTTTTCTTCTTATGCATATCGATCAAAGGTTCTGCTCTCTTCTTTGAGTTGTAACTCTCCACCATTTCTGATAATTTTTCATCCCTTTTCTTGGCTGCAATGTCTTCTGGAGCATAATCTCTCCCATCTTCATCAGTTCCCATCTGATAAAAAGTGGGGTAAATAGAATAGATGGGAAAATGATAGAATATAAAAATGAAAAAAAAAGAAAAGAATAACTGGTTATACATCACCAAAGATGATTACTATTCCCTTGTAAATGTAGTAATTTTTGCTGAGTGATGTAATTAATAAATTGCTTCCAGTAATTGAAGAATAATAAAGGTCATTTCCTACTGCTACACACTAATACGAAGGGGTAAAGGTAAAGGAACAATTAAATCAATATCCAACTAAATATATACTAATTAAATATTTGTGGTCATCTGCATGGAATAAGAGTGTCACGTGGAAATATACTTTAATCATTACCTGAGCTTTTCTTTCTTTATCAGCTGGTGTGTCTGTCCAAACTGATCGGTCACCCCTTTCCATGGGTGCTTTTCTTCTAAACTGCCTTGCTTCCAAACCACAAAAGCTTTTTCGGTCTTCAGGAAGCTCTAGCATCCAAGATTCTCTTTGCATTGGTTTGTCTTCACCCTGAAAGTTAAAAAGGAAAATGTGTCTTTTGGTTTCAGTATACCATATGAACTGATATCATTTCTGAAAAAGCATTACATTTGCCAACAGGGTCTCAATATATGGTAAGTTATACTTACTTTTCCTTGCAATTTATCCTTCATTTTCTTTGCTCTATACTCAAGCTGTCTTATTCTGTATTCCTCTTCATCTATTTTTTCTGCAGATGGTATTGGTCCCACAACGAAACCATCTTCATCGCTCTCGCTGCTCTCCCCTTCCTCTGGCACAGGCATTGTTGAAGCAGAAGGAACGTAACCCTTGGGCAGAGTAGGTCCTAGCACGCGCTTCTGGCTTTGGGATGGTTCTATACCATCCTTCTTCTTCTGAAGCAGGTGTGGTGGTAATGCAGGTCCATACATATCATCCTCATCTCCAGATTCTTCTTCACTGTTTCCTGTATCTACCTTGGAAGCTTTGTTATGGCTGTCCTCACTTTCATCTCCTTTTCTCTTTGATGTGCTTTTCGGTACGTGGGACGGTAGGGATGGGCCGCATGCATCCTCCTCCTCCTCACTGTCTTTTGTGGCTTCCTTCTTGGCTGCAGATTTCACCATGTGAGGAGGTAGGGCTGGCATAAATGAGTCATCATCTTCTTCAGTTTTGCTAGATCTAGACTTTGGTGATTCTGAAATTTTGAATTTATCAGAACACCCACTGATTCAGGTCATGTTTTGAACAGCAAATTATTAAAGTAGGATTAAGATAAATCATAAAGAAAATAAAGTGAAAAATACAAATGATTAAAATAAAAAAGTAAAAAGATGGGTGATAGCAGGTATTATTGTATTACTCATGAAAGTAGCATTTAATTGTACTGCATTTTATTATAACAATTGTATCATAAAGTAAAATTAAAGACAGTGAATAATTCAAAATTAACATGAATAAAACAACATAGAATATAATTTCAAAAATTTCTTTAGAAATTACTTTTGCCATGCTAAAAAAGGGGTTATTAATGATAATAACTAATGAATAGATAAAGAAAACATCTATGTTTTTCTGTATTAAGACATACTAATACCATATATTTCTGGATAATGCTCTTTTGATGGACAACATTCAATTTATCGATCATGCACCATGACTACGAGAATAGTTCACAAGCCATTAACAGATATTTTTGCTTGTTTAAGCACAGATGTTTTCACTGCTATTTATTTCCAAATTTGTACCCTTAGCAATATCAACGATATTACAAACACTGTCAGCTATATTCTTCTTACTCTTAGAATCCTATTGTAAGGTGTATGCACCATGATCCCTAAAAGCATGTTATGCTGGTTAGGCAGAGCTGAATGCAAGCCAAGAATGCCTCCATTAAGGTAGACAAGCCAAGTGTCTGAACCTGTAAACTAATAAACTGTTCTCTTTAAGAGGAACAAATAGAAA